CCCCAAAACCCCAAAACCCCAAAACCCCAAAACCCCTTATTTCGATTCGAAATTGGTTTATAAAATTATACAAATGAGTTTCGCTCCATCCAAAGGCAAGAAGCCTCGTGCTCGTCCAGACAACACAAGAGCTAATGCTCCACCAGTCACTAGCAGCAAAGAGCCCAATGCAGAGCTTGGCCAGCTTCACGACACTGGATCTAAAGCCAGTCAGAGTATCAGGTCTAGAACTGATGAAGACTACCCAGACAGATTTACTCAGCTGTCTCAAGATGTCAGCAGGCTGCAGCAACAACAAGACACATATGCACAGTTGTTGGCGCTCAGTGACACAGTGGCTCAGCTCCAGAAAGACCACAAAGCTATGAGTGGACTTGCCAGAAAAGTGGCCAACATCGAAGACCGTTTGGATGAGTTCCATCAAAGATTTGACGAACACCAGCACAGAGTCGATGAAAGACTGAATGTTCTTGCACAGGATATCAGTCGAGGAGCCCAAGACACCGCTGAAGCTACTCAGGTCACCAAGAAAGCGTGTGCTGAACTCGACAGAAGACAAAAAGATATGGATTACCAAATCAAAATGGACATCAGAGACACACAGATCAAGGCCAAAGAAGACATGGTTGCAGTCACTTCTGACATTGATCGTAAAGTTGATGCTCACAAAGAGTACTTCGAAGCCAACCTGAACGATGTCCACCGGAAACTCAAGTCAGACATCATAGATCACTCTGACAAGCTTGATGAGCTAGATCAGAGACTATCAACATCGAATCAGGAGTTCGAACACAAACTTGGCTTGCTCGAGGGTGTGTTACCATCTCTAGACTCATCCAGCAAACGCAGGAAGATCGACTATGAAGACCTCAAAGCTTGGCTTCTTGGATCCATTGACCAGAGAATGGCTCAGAACGAGAAGAAGCTTCAGAAAACCATCAAGACATACACTTCAAGTGTGAACAAGCAGAAGGCAGAACTTTCAGAGTTCAAGAAAGAACTCACTACAATGCCACAAGTAGGACCGACTAGAGAGGCCCAGGCTGATGATGAAGGCAGGGAACAGCCTGCAGACTTGGAAGCCGAAGAAGGAAAGTCTGAAGTAGTTGTCAGTGCAAATCGGTACACAGGTAAGTATCATAGCTCAGAGTTAGAGTACTTCCAGAACTCGGTATCTAAGAGTGAAGGGTTGAAACAGAAGAGAGAAGAAATGGATAGCATTGAAAAATACATTCATACTAGCAGTGATGAAATTGGGAAAATCCTCGATCAACAAAAGATTAACATCTATGATTGGAATGACAAGATCGTATCAACAGTAAAAGCTAATTACAAACTCACAAAGTCGAAGAAGAAAGCAGACAAAGAGAAACTGAAAGGTTCGGAAAGAAATTATTCTTTAGAGGAAAGCAAGGCTATCATAGATGAGTTCAACCAATTTCATTCAGATATGCAGAAGGAGATGAGCGAAGTTAAGAGTGATATAAAGGAGAGAAAAAGCAGATTGACCAGAGATGTTCGCGAATTCGAGAAGAGTTTGAGCAAGCAAGAAGCTAGTAGACTCAAGAATTCAAGAGGTAAGATATTTAGTTATTTTTATTTTCACAAAAAATTTCAAACATTATTAAAATAACTTGTTTAGAACAACTCCAAAAGCAAGTTGAGACTTCTCATTCTTATCTCTCAAATGAAGCAGAAGGTATTAGAAAAAGATTGGCGAGCACAAAGCACATGGTTGGCAGAGATATTGAATCAAACATAGAATAGATATTGAAAATTCAATAAAAAATGGTTATAAAGGGGTTTTGGGGTTTTGGGGTTTTGGGGTTTTGGGG